AAACGGAAGTGAGGGACCCAAACAAACGATTAAGAAGGCACACACAGACGGCTATTCTTTTTCATTTTCATCTCAGCTGGACGCAAGAGTTTATTTTTCATCATAGCGATCTGGAATGAAGAAACCGAAGACCAACGCACACGCTATTTGTTGTTTGTTTATATCACGCAGTCTGTTCTTCTTCTCTCGGTGTATCACCCAGTCTGTCTTCCGGTTGTTGCCTCTTTTGAATGACGAATACACACTACCACCGCCTGCTGGTAAGGAGAGTTATTGCCACTCACGCATGCGCAGTTCGTACGTGCTACTTGGCCGTCGGCTGAAGTCTTTGCGGTGTGTTCCAGTGCGACTGTTGGCCAAGACGCAGGAGACGTGAGGCGACACAACAGTCGTGTTCTGTCGGGACGTGTTCTTTGGTGTCAGTTTGGTGTGTCTGGGCCTTTACACACCAAGCCGATTTCCGCCGTTGATAGATGCCGATAGATGTCGGGCCGTCGATGAGCGTCGTGTCGCCCTACTCAGATTGGTGTGTCTTGGTGTGTCCCGCACCGTTGTGTCTTTTCGGCCGTGCCGACACCTTCCGCCGCCGATTTGACATGTTTAATCGGGAGGCTGTCGGCTAAAGGCCGTCGGCCAAAGAAATCACTCTGATTGGCTATTCAGCTTAGCGAATCAGTGCATGAGAAGTGAAACGGAAGTGAGGGACCCAAACAAACTATTAAAGGAGAGGTGTCATGCTTTTCCGGTTATTACCCATCCCCTTGTGTGTTATGAAGGTTTTTATGCATGTAAACGGTGTGCAGAGTCAAAACCCTCAAAGTACACCCTATAGCGAGTACAACTCTAACACAGAAAATACCTCCCCAAAACGCCTCGTTGGAGATACGTCATTGTCCATTTGATTCTCCCGGAACGAAATGGACCAATCCGTGGAGCCGTTACGTTACGTCCGCGGAGCCGTTACGTTAAGCCCCTGCTGATTGGTCCAAATTGACCAATCCACGGACTTCCTCACACACACATCTGTGTGCAGGGAGCAGGCAGCTCAGCTGATTTCTCCTCCCTGGCTGCAGGCTGATAACAGACAGTTGGGATCGCGGCGAAATTCTCTCTGCAGACCCATTCTCACAGCGTTTATCAACCTTTTTCTTACTCAATATCAAGCCACACTTATTGTTTTTACTTCGGATGTGAGTTTGTGTGTGCTCAGGATGAGTTTGGCTGTGTTTCGCTATGTATCCTAAACAAGGAAACAACACCTCCACGGAGCTCAGCGCGATTCACAACGTCCCGACCAATCAGAGCACACTGTGCTCACAGGGAGGGTGGGGGCTGGAGCTTTTGGAGCTACAACGAGCCGTTAAAGGCAGAGAGTGAAATTCAGTGAATACAAGTAGTTTACAGAGATGCTGTATGAGAAACCAATGTGAGTTTGGAAAAATGCACAGTATAAATCTATTTTAGTATACCTCAACAATGGAATTATGATCAGTGGAAATGGCCATGACACCTCTCCTTTAAGAAGGCAAATCTGAGATTTCATTTAACTCCAGCTCTCGACACAGGATCGGGAAAGCCCCATGAGCTTCTCACTGTAGAGTGAAAATGGAACGCACACGCTATTTGTTGTTTGTTTATATCACGCAGTCTGTTCTTCTTCTCTCGGTGTGGTGTATCACGCAGTCTGTCTTCCGGTTGTTGCCTCTTTTGAATGATGAATACACACTACCACCGCCTGCTGGTAAGGAGAGTTATTGCCACTCACTCATGCGCAGTTCGTACGTGCAACTTGGCCGTTGGCTGAAGTCTTTGCGGTGTGTTCCAGTGCGAAACATGGCCAAGACGCAGGAGACGTGAGGCGACGTTCCGTCGGGACGTGTTCTTTGGTGTTCTTTGGTGTCAGTTTGGTGTGTAAGGACCTTTAAAATGCAGAGACACACATGTGCAGAGAGGCCCCAGAGCCTCATAAAAAGAAACAGAGCAAACTAATTCATATTGACGCCCTGCACTAATTATAATTACACATACATGCTATTTGACCCTGTGACCTAGTCCTAGATAATTGTCAAACACTTAATTAGTTTAAAAGCATCTCATCCCCATGTTGTCAGCTTTCCTTTAAATGAAAGTGTTACGCCATGTTGTTGTGCCATTGTTATTTGAATACATTTCAGTGCTGCATTGTATTGGATGGCCTTCATCTGAGTGGCATGCTTATAATTATTTTCCCTACCAAAAAAACAAAATAGATATTGGTATATATTATCCTACATTAAAGGTAGGGTAGGTAAGACTGGAGAAACCAGCTCGAGTGCGCTAGAATTTTAAAGTAGGCAGCCGAAAAAAATCTGCGCCTTCCTTCAGACTTCCTTACAGAGCCCCTCCTCCAACACACACGAACGCGCACATGACCAATGAGGGCACGAGATAAGTTTGTGCAAGAGATGGAATGCTGACAGCAGTGGCGGCCGGTCCATAGGGGCGCTAGGGGCGCCGCCCCACCTCTTCCCATATTGAAAAAAAAAAAAAAAAAAAAAATTAAAATTAAAATTAAAAAAAAAATATATGTTTAAAAAGATATATATGTTTTTATTTTTATTTTTAATGAACAAGGTAAATATTATATAATTGGTATCAGTAAAATGTATAATCTACAATAAAATCTCGTTTAAAATTGTGTTACGATGTCTAAAGTTACTGATAAGTCACATGTTTCCTGCCTGGCCTTGCCCATGCACCTTCTCTCGTCTGGGCGCTAAGAGAGGAGCCTTCAACCAGTGCAGCAGCAGCCACCAGCAGCTGACTGTTGCTATCTGTAACGTGTAAACTATGCCGCGAAAATATAATTTCAGCCAATCAGCGTCGTCAAAGATGACGGTCACCGGGCGCCAATGTCAGCGCCCAGTGCAGTCTGTGAGTAGTTTGGACAGTGACTCGTATCCGGTTGACGCAGTAGTTGATGAGGATGGCTTCGTGTGCAGGTGGAGTCTCCGGACCTCGGTCCCCGCCTAATTCTGTTCAAGAGCTAATCTCCAATCCTTTCGAAAGGAGAAGTTTGGCAGATAAATTGTTGCTTAAAGACCTTGCACCGGACCAACCCGATTTGAATATATCGCAGCAATCTCGTGAAAAAGACAACATTTATACACGAGGCTTCACAAGTAGCTGGTACACAAGAAAGGCTTGGCTAGCTGGATGCAAACAGGTAAATGCTGTCTTTTGTTTCCCATGCTTGGATATCACTTTATATGTAGAGAGGAGGTTTCCCATGGTTGTTAGAAGTTTATTAATAAGTGGGCATTTATCACAGAAGTGATTGTTCTGTCTCCACGTTTGTTGCATTGTCTGTGATGTATTTTCCAACGGTTATAGCTCCTGTTCTGTCCCAGCAACACTACACGGTTTGCAGCTCCACCACATTTTTGGTTTATCTTCGGTGTCGCTTAAAATCTGCTTCCCATCGGACTAAAACCTCCACGTAATCTGAAGACAGATACTTGAAGTTATTTAAACCTTTTGCAAACTTTATGTTCTTTCTTGCTCTAGCCTTGCCAGTTACATTGTACATAACACATATATTATCATTATGCTAACTGGTTGTTCGTGTTAGACGATGTAGCTTTTTCATTTCTGAGTTATTGCTATATGTAAATAAGCCTGTTTGTAAATAATCCTCAGAGAAACAAAGAAAAAACACAATTTATGACATTTTGTGCTGTGGTTATTTTTTTTAAATTGCATTTATTCACAGTTCAGTTTGAAATGCTGTAGTGACTTGTATTGAACCACTTAAATATTTATAATTAATGCTACTGAAAAGATGCTATTAATTTTATATCTCACATGCAGTTCACTGTAAAGCTACTTGGTGAAGGTGTTGGTTCATAAAACATGAACAGTTTTAAGAAAGAAAAAAACAGACCAGTTCTGAGAACACAAATTCCTGGTAAAGTAGTAGATGTTCAGGTTGATAAATAATATTTTCCACACTGAAGATTATGGAAGTATTGATCAGTCTTCTCATATTTTTAAGCCTCGATTTCTCCTTTCCCCCCCCCCCCTCTAACATCACCAGAAGTCATCATTTAAGGGGTCATTTCTCGAAAAAAAATTACGGGGGGAAACCCCCCGGACCCCCCGGGTAGGTCACTTACGGTACGTCAAGAGCCCCACCAAAAAAAAAGACCACCGGCCGCCACTGGCTGACAGGCAGGTAGGCCATCCAGTTATTTTAGCCGGGCCGGCTAAAATAATTGGTCGTGCTTTTTACAGCGCCACGGCTTCCACAGATGAAATGTTTTAATGTATTTATTGTCAAAGCATTTAATGTATGAATTGCTATCGGGATGTTAAGAGCATTCCTTGGAAAATAACAAAAAGTGTTTCTGAAGTGAATTACCTACCCTACCTTTAACAACACCCCATTTTAACAACATAATGCAACAGCAACTTCAGAGAATAGACTGAGACTAGTCTGACATCTGCTGGGGAAAAATAGTACTGCTTCATCTTAGAGAAACAGGTGCATGTGATGAATTAAGGTGGTTGGATAAAAAAACTCCACAACACTTGTTAATATTTAATATTTATATATATTTAATATTAATATTTATATTGTATTATAATTTATATTGTATTATAATATATGTATGTAGATTCCAATTTTCCATAAGCTCATTCAAATCAGAAATTAAATTCCAAGGACGTAAGCCTCTTGATAACTAATGAAAGATTAACGTTTATAAGTCACCCTTCTTGACTAACCTTAGTTATTTCGTCATTGTCTGGGTGATGGAGGCCTGATTTAATCTTTTATCAAGTCACACGATCAGGAGTCATCGCTTTTCCCTGACGTCCCACTGGTCATCGCTCTCTGTTCTGATTGGCCAATACGAGCAGCGACTGTGCTGCTGTGTGACAAACAGCGACCCTGACCAATCCCCTCCTTTAATTGCCCACGATCACTCCTCCGTGCCGTACCCTTCAAATGACGTCACGTCCAGCAAACGCGATACGCATTGAGTTTGGAGACAAGAGAAGAGCGGGTTGCTCATTGCGGTAAAAAAAAAATTGTAGTAGTAAACTCTGGAGACAGAAGAAGGGTTATTTCTACAAAGAGACTGCTGCTTTTTACACCAAACCGGGATACTATTCATTCAAAGGTAGGTGGTGCACACTTGTCCTTTACGTTATTTCGGTTGGTTTATGAGCCTAGTCATCATGAACTTAGGGGGCTGTGTAAAGTGGGTTGTGGCCTGCAGGTTCCACTTCTATTCGGCCTTTGTTAGCAGCCTATAATGTTTCTTAGACATTATAATGATATCCCAGTTTAATTTCGGAGTGAAATATACAAAAACGACTACAATACTGATGTAAATAGGCACCATATTTAAAAACAACAAAGGCTACCATGGTAATATTAAGCTAATTACAAACTAGCGTAATAGCGAATCTCAAAATGGTGTAAGACAGTAGTCTATTTAGCATGCAACACATCTTTGGTTACCAAATGATATATTTATCAGGTTTTTTGTGACTTGGCTCAGGCCATATGTTAGCCTGCGTTGTCGTTTGTGTGAGATATTTGTGGTTGTGGTCCTAATTGGGTCCAGTGGGGCTGTCTTCATGCTCACATTCAGCCTCTTGGTCTTGTGATGTCTGGATGTGGAGAAAGTAAACACAGGCTGCCAGGCTGCAGGGCTGTAGCATGGCCTGTGTGAGCAGTCTCAATTAAATAAAGCTATTTTTGTAGAGAACTAGGCCAAAATAGACTTTCTAAACCATATTTCTAGGAATAACATTAATTTAATGTGTAAACTAAGCCCTTGTACTGGATATATTACCTTAAGATGCCATTTTACCCTAGAGATTCCACTTGTGTGTGTGAAATGCCAAACAGTTTTTGCTATGTTTGCTACTGCATTTTATATGCAACCCCGTGTTGTACATGGAGAATAATTGATACGGTTGACAGGGTCATTTTCATGTTACAACACATTTCCTGTTCAAACTTTTACATGAAAAAAGGGAACTAGTTAATACATGAAAGATCTCCCAGGATCCTTTTTTGATCATTTCTATTTACTGTAGCTAATATCAGTTTCCCTAAAGAAACCTGTCAAGGCTGGTTTAAGGGTGTTTTGGACCCTCTAGCTGATCAGGTTTGCTGGTTAAGATGGAAATAGCTGTTTCCAGTAGTCCTAAACAGGAATTAGATGTTAATTTGATCAGACAACTTGTTTTGTATTAATTTGATTAAGATTAATTAATTCTAGTTTGCACGTAAATTATTTTAAAGTGTAAATTGTTCAATCCTGCCACACACAGATGTTAGTGAACCGACTACGCCTATTTACTCCTTTATCAATAAAAACAATGCCATTGTCTGAGGGATTTAATGGATTCAGAGACGTCTCAGGTGCACTGTCTGTGTGTGTGTATGAACGTGATATAATCATCATGATACTGCTGTGGAAACATACCCTGAGCTCACTCACCTATTTGTACAGTCAAACGGGGTAAAACAAATCAGTAACATGCAAAGGAACACACACTTGACACAATGTGCAAATCTTTCTAGGAGCGACTTCTCCTGTAAATCACTTCTCATGTAGACTTTAATCTGATGCATAAGAGTGGAGCAGTTGTATACAGGTACAATAAAGCCAAGGAGTCCTACAATGTGAACTTTGACACTGCCAACATCCTTATTGGTGTCAGATTACAGGCACCAAGGTCCCCTTTTGAAAAGGCCCTTTCTCAGCCTTTAGCCAGTAATGCAACACTCTCGAGTCTCAAACAATCCACAAGGTGGATCAAAGATTACCAGAGAGACAGAGATCTGATAATTGTGTTATTTTACTGCCTCCTCGCTGCCTTAAGGTACAACAAAAACAAACCATCAGGGATCACTCTGTTCCTCTGGGAGCATGGTAACCATAGTAACAGAGGTCTTTCCATCTGTCAGCAGCTCTAAGAACATTCAGGTCATGAGAAGTCATCCATCTTTGAAACGCACTGCGAAGAGATGCTTATTGCCGAGGTTACATCAGGATCATTGTGACAGAGTACAACAGTAACAGTTGTATTTCCTTTGTTTCCCCGTTGTTATATTTCATCTCACTCCACCTGTGCTAAAGAGCAATGTAACCTTTCATTAGGTACCCAAGAAACATCCTCAAACCTTATTATATTATACACCTTACTATTTTTCTAAATTAGGTAATTAAAAATGAGACAAAACAATAGCTTTACTTCAAACCTTATAAATAGAATATTGTTTTTGACGATACAGGCTTTTTAACAGTAATGTTTATGTAATTTTGTTGACACAGGATGGCTTTGTTTTAAGCAAAGAATTGAATGATGATGGAGAAGCTTAGCAGGAGGGATTTTCAGTGCTATTTAGATGTTTATAGTGTACACACAACATGACAGGGGAATCCTGGAAGGTTACCAGCGATGCAGTTTTCCATCTGGCCTCTTTTCTCCTTGTTGTGGCTGTTCTACATGAGCAAACCCAGCGATGAAGGCTAGCATGAGGCTGGGGATGGGCCTGGATCTGCTTTATCGGAAGCCATTAATGGCAGGTTGGAAAATGCTAACCTCCTCTTGAGGTTTAGAGTGGAGCAATTAACCTTTAATGCTGATAACAAACATATATTGTAGTTTCCAAACCGCCGTGCTATTAAAACACTTCCTGGATATTAAGCAACGCCATTGCAATATTTAATCTCCATTGTGATGTTCCTGTAACACGGAAATGACTAATGTTGATTATTTGTCACATTACATATTTGTTTTTCTGAGTAAAGAGTGACTATCAAGGCGATTGGCCACTGCGTTATCTTGCCTTTTTCCCATTGTTCATTTGCTTAGCCTCACCCTGCCTCACACAGTGAAGCTGACTCCTCCATTTGTAAAGTGTGTGTGTGTGTGTGTGTGTGACCAGTAAGAAAATGGTGCTACTCTGTAGTAGGGTGGACGCTGGTTGAAATTGACTATTGACTCCCTCAACTAGCAACAACAAATCTGCTGTGCTTGAATTTCCTGCGTGGCTGTGGAGAGCATAGTTGTTTGTTTGTGTGAGACAGCACAGAAGGAGATATTTTTAAGGGAATTAGGGAAAAATCTGTGCAATGTACTTTCCTGTTCTGGCAAACAGTTGCATCAGTTGTGTGTTGTTCTCTGAAACCAGGACTCAGAGGAGTTCATTGTCTAATGTGACTCAGGAGGCTGACCACACACACACACACACACACACACACTCTCATACACTCACATTTCTCTGCGGTCCATACAAAACCACACATTATTCTGATAGTTTAATTAAGGCGCATTCTCATAAATTGAACAATAATTGCAAACTATGTCGATAGATTGGTGATTGAGCTTCACCGTAATAACCACAACATATGCATACTTTTATTGTTGTAGTGTGGGAATTCAGTATGTATAGGTATCCAGTTTTATTAAACTATACATGAAAGTATGTATTTCCAGCTTTGTTATACACTAATATATATAAGGGTTGTTTTAATTATGTATAGTCTGTATTGTGCATTACTTTTACAATATATCCTCATATAGGTCTGCATGTTGCATAAAAGCAGAAAAACATTCCCTACTGATTTATTTATTTATTGTTAATTCCTCCCTTATTATTACTGCCTAACTATTTTATCATTTTCCAAATATATATATTTTTATTTAAAGGGGACCTATCATGCAAAATGCACTTTTGTACGTCTTTTATACATGAATATGTGTCCCCGGTGTTCCAGGGAACTCACCAAGTGTCAGAAAACACAACCCTCTCTATTTTCCTCCATACCCAAATCTCTAAAAAAGGGGCTGCAACGGATCTGATAAAAACTGATCCAGATTTGAACACGTTACTGACGTCAGGACAGTGGCGCTACGGCTATTGGGCCAACTCCACCAATCAGGAGGAGACAACCACGGCCATTGCCGTTCGAAAGCGCTGGAGACGCTGTAGTACATATGCCAGGCCAGTAGATGGTGCTGTTCTCACAGAATCTGCCCTTGCTAAAACAGATCTAAAAAATGTCAAATTGAGCGAAATGAGGCATGGCTAAAATGCATGATGTGTTTGGTATTTTGAAAAAAAAAAAGTATAAATATGCCTTATAGGTATGGTCCTACACTATATTATTCAAATATAGCATGATAGGTCCACTTTAAGCAATTGCTATTAGACAATTACTATTATGCCTATTTTTACTCTTGTTTGTTATGCATCATGTCAGGTTATGTACAGCGACTTGTTTTTCAGTATTTGTCCCCCGTTCCTTTTTTTTTGTACCACCTCAATAGTCACAGTGTGTTGTTTTTGCACTCTATATATATATATATATATATATATATATATATATATATATATATATATATATATTTTTTTTAAAGCAGATAAACCTGTTTCAAATTCTTATATCTGTCTTTTTTGTTCTTAGGATTGTATTACTTGTATTCTTCCCATTTGTGAATACTGAGTACACACCTCCTTTTTCCATTGTTTTCACCATCTCTCTTCTATTTCCTTGTCATTGAGGTGATCGTTCAGCTAAAGGATGAATTTTGAGCAGCCCCCTCCGTACCCAGGCAATGGCCCCTCTGCTCCAGGCTACCCGGTCCAGGGCCCGCCTCCACATGGCTACCCTAACCAGGGTTACCCTCCACAGGGATACCCAGTGAACATGGAGCAGCCCAATCCAGCTTACCCCAACTACCCTGCGGGACCAATGGGCCCTGGAGGCCCCGGAGGCCCTTATCAAGACCCCGGACAGCCTCCTTATGGGTACGCTGGACAACCGCAACCACAGTTTGGCTGGCAGGGGGGACCCCCTGGACCAATGTATGGGGAGGCTCCCAAAAACACAGGTGAGTGGTAACACACAAAGGAGATGAATGCATATGTATTAGTAATATATATCAATAATGGTGTCAGAGCAGTGTGGGTGGAGTGCCACTGAGGAGAAGTGCTTTCCTGTAGTTCATGCAGGGCCGCCCCTCCCTACACGCAGATCACGCAGACTGCGTGGGGCCTCATCTTGCGGAGAGGGCCTCATCTTTTTTGTGATCAAATTTTTATTGATGTTAATACACAACATGTACAACCACAACATTTGTTTTTAAATGAAATGACTGAAAGTACACAAGAGAAACAAAATTAGATAAAGGTAATTACTTACAAAAAAATACAAAATGCAGAATACAGAAAACGCATGTAAGCTAAAAATAATAACAAGACAATGAAAATAAAATAAAACAAACCCTACCCTCCCTCCCAGACATATAAACACACACACACAGACAAGAGAGGGCCTCATCTTATGCGCAAATGCGGCGCAATTATGCGCTCCACAGTTTCCCCGCTGCGAGGCTCCAGTGCTAACAGTTCACCAGCGTGCTCCACTAGCATCCACCCACCCAGGAAATTGATCATAACATTTGACCATTTTGGAATTGTTCTAATTACAATCTCTCAAAACCATTACATGAAAAGGATAGTGTTTTTTGTTTTTTTAAGGTGGGGTTGTGTGAGGTTTTAAAAGTCAGTGTATTTACCGTCAGTAGATTGCAGTCTGCACTCCCCCAGATTGAAGAAGCAGACCGGAGTACCAACACAAGCTAAACAATCTAGTGCTGTCGAGGGGGGGCAGCAGCAAAACATATTTCTAGTCACCCAGAAAATATATTTTTGAGTGTGCACTTTATTTTGAATACCTTCACTACTTCACCTTGCCGTCTGAAAGCCATTTTAGAAAAGAAACTAAAGCCGCTATGTATCCATCTGTGCTCTTATCAAAGACTCTTTTGACAAAACTTTCATTTTACCTCGATCGGTTTGCTATTTTGTGACTTCAGTGAATCGAAACTAACCCTTAAAAACACAAGTCACACAAGAAAAAAACGAAGCAATCAAGGCAGCGGTAGCCCAACAACTCCTGTTTTCTGCAAAGTTAAATGACTGTTTTTGTCAAAGGAGTCTGGTGGCTGTCTGCCGGTCACAATTTTGTACAGCGGCAGCCCAATATGTCTTGAAATTGCAAATGCAGAAAAATATATGTGCGTCGCTAAAATGTAAAACAATTATAAGCAGAACATGTTCAAAACTCAGAGGCTCCAAACCAACAAATGTTTGACTGTTCTGCTTAAAATAAAACGTCATTATTATGTATTTTATTATTTATTTATCTGTTTATTCCACACATGGCAGTTATTTTAAAACCAAACATGTACCCTTTTTTTGTAGCCCATGGTGGAAAGGAGCAGGGAGAAGAACATCTTATTTTACCTGCCCCTACTTTAAAAAATAAAAATAAAATAAAATAACAATACACATGTAAAATAAAAAGCAATGTTCTGTCAATCACAGTTGCTTACAAATACTTACAGAAACATAAAACCAGAACACAATCAAAAGTCATCTTCATACTGTCTGAATTATCAAAATAATTGACCATTTATTTTCTGCCTTTTTGACTGATTAATACAAATGAATGTTTAATTGACTGGGACTGAAAAACCGGTCACCATGTAGAGTAAGAGCAACTAAGGATTTCAAAAGTGTGAAGGCTTAAGATAAAAGGTGTGTGTGTGTAGGCATCAACGCCTCACAACTGAGCATCCAGAATCGAGCAAGCTGTGAAACAAAAAGGCACACATGTCATGGTAAAATATTCCAAATGAATATCCAAAGCGGAGAACCCGGTTAACACTGTTATCTATTAAACACGAGCAGCGAGGTGTTACTGCTCCAGATAAGCCTCCTCTTTCTGATCAAAGGACTGCGCGCTGCTATCCAGATTCTGGCTTTGCGTTGCCTGGATTGACATTCATTATTAAATATTGGCCAATCATTAACCAGTCATATCATTATCAGGGTTCAGTGTGATAAGTGGTCAGCTAGCCTTACTTAATCTCTGGTAGTCGGTCGCCTTGGTAACCTGTCATGAGACCTGGCTGTTAAAGTCTGGATGAGTGTTACCCTCCACATGAATGATTAATCACAAAAACCAGGAAGGGGGGGGTGTTTTTGTCCCTGTTGGTTGACTATTTGTGTGTAGGTGGAGCAGATGGTAAACTTCACATAAGAGTAACACAGCCTCATGACTTATTTAGCTGTATTGACTGAAGGAGATTTAAAACCAATGTGGATTAATGGGAAATGCGTCGTTGGCAGAGTAGAGGCGTGGAGTTCAGGAAGCTCTCATTTCATTAGTCTAATGATACCTCAAAGCACTGCTGAAGTTACTCAACCGTCACGGCGTCTGATCATGGCTGCTATGGCATTACCATGGCGATGTGCCTCCCGTGATGAACGTAATTAGAGGAGAATCATAGCCATGGTTACACTCGAGCTCACCGCTGAAGACTTGACGGTGAATTATCTCAGTGTTTTTCTACGATTTGAATCACTAATTGCTTTCTTTGAATTGTCTCTCCCTCCTTCCCTCCATCCCCTTTTTTATATTCCCACCCTGCTTCTCTCCCCATCTCTCTTTCTCTCTCCAGTGTACGTGGTGGAGGACAGGAGAAGAGACAACTCTGGCTCGGACTCGTGCCTGACGGCCTGCTGGACAGCTCTGTGTTGCTGCTGTCTCTTCGACATGCTGACATAACTACTCTCCAATTCCTGTTCACCCCCTCGCCCCCCATTTCTGTGCCTCGAACCCCATCACCCTTTCCCAATCCTCCCCCTCTTTATCTGCCTTAAACCTCGCACTTCCTCAAAACCAACCCTCCGTTTCCTCTACAAGTCTTTTATCCTCGTCTATAAATAAAAGCCTCGATTTCAATATGGAAGTCTCTGTCCGGAGCCGCTTACTCGGCGTGAATCCCTCAGCACTGAATAACTCACTGACCCTGTGCTGGCGCTGCTCTGTAGCAGTTTGTAACTGAGCTAACCTGAGAGGCAGGCTCTGTAATCTAACACCAACACACCAGGAATATATATACACACACACACACCCCAACAAACGCATACATAAGCTGTGTCTCAATTTGAATACTTATTTGAATACACTGCATGTCATACACTGTGAACAATAGACTGGGTAATGTTCTCCTAAAATGCACAGGGCTGCTGTGGCCTCATGGAAAGTTGAAGATAGCCACTGTTAGCTAGTTAGCTAGCCGACATAGACGTAAGTGGTGGCAATCACTACAAACTGCTCAATTAGCCCAATAAAATGAATGGTGGCTTCTTTTAAACAATGGTATAGTGGTAAGTTTATTTGTATAGTGCTGTGTTTACTGGAGCATTCCCAAATGGTCACTCCTTTCCATTACGAAGCCAAGATGGCGGTCGATGAGGATAAGAAGTGTCCAGTGTTCCACACAACTTCTTGACTGTTATGATTACACCATCCTGGTATTCATAATGCACTGCATGTTTCGTACTTTGCAAAGGAACCCACTTACACACTCAAAACTGCTAGTGTAAGTACAGAAGTACGCATATTGAGACACAGCATTACAGTATACTTAAATCTCAGGCTAATCTAGTGTGAGGCTCTTTGGCACTTTATGATGATTACCTCTGTAAGATACTCCTGCCTGCCCTGTCAACCATCCCTTAACTCCCCTTCTGCTAGTTCCCAACGCCAAGGGCAACTCCTTACACTGCCCCCCCTCCCCCAACCCCACCCAAAGGCCACCACCAACACCCCGGCTGTTAATGAGCCACAGGGCGCTCTTAAGAAGCTGATGCTTGAGATGTATCCCTTTCATTTGCACAGAAGCTGTTTTCGCCGACGTATGTCTTCAGGTGGAATCATGACGATAAATGGAATGCATTTTTTTTAAAAGATGACAGTGATTTATGTTTGATTACTGTCAGCAGTCGATGGCCGCAATGTTTTTTTTTTCTCATTGTGATCTTGATATGAAAAATGATTCCAATGTTATTTTTATTACATACCTTGGAGATAAAACTGGAAAATGAAAATAAAAAAAAGAAGAAAATGTGATTTCTTACAAGAAACCAAATGATCTGTCAGATGCCTTTTTGCTTTGGATGACTTGCATTAAAATAATTTGTTCCCATGAAATAGCTAGTTTTGTTGTTTGTGTATATGTGATGGATTGCGATGTGTGTGTGGGGGAGGTTACAGGAGAGCAGGGAGCATAGATCTATATACTGTAGCCAACGGGGCCAGGCCGGATCCATTCGACTATTTATAACCCAGCTGCTGGTGCAGGATGTTGAGGGCACATGGTTGCCTGCCTGACACATTACCAGTATGTTTCACACTTGAAAAAATAGGAACTGCAGGGGCAGGTTCACACACAACTGAGCAGGGAATCTATAGGATGTTTCATGGCTTCCTGATACACAACCCAAAGGCAGTTGTGGAAAGTTTAGAATTGACTTAAGCAAACATTTTATGCTACTTTTTACATGTATCTGACAGGGGAGGGGTCATTCTGAATAATGCATACTTTTAAGACCATTTCCTTTGCTGATACAAAGCTAGGATATCAAAACTGTGAGTGAACCAACACTCAAAATCAAACTATGCGCTGTAAAACAACAAAAGGTCGTACACTCAAGACAGCCGTAATATTGCCGTTTTTCATAATTCTATGTGGGTATCCCTACAAGCAAATCATTCCACAGATATTGAAGCTATTTTAAATTTAAGCAATGCTGTAGACTTGTTTTTTGGTGCCTTACCCAGATCTGTGCATGTTCCATGGAGGACATTTTTGACTCGCCACAGTAGGAAAAGCACAGGTGTAAATAATGACAGTGACGATGGCCGAATTTGATTTCAGCTTCCTGGTATCGTGCATGCTGGCTCCCTATCACTGGAGCACTTGAATAGGAGCTGTCGTTAGTGTTATTAGTAACACCTGGGCTTTCCCTACTGTGACAAGCCATGTCTGCTGTGAGTGTCTCTGAGCTCGTTATGCATTGTCAGCTGTGAGACCTTTTTATACACAGGTGTGTGCCCCAAAATCACGTCCAATCAGTTTTATTTACCACAGGTGTACTCCAATCAACCGTCTCAAAGATTAGCAAGAGAAATGGGAGGCTACATTTCAAGTGCCATTGCAAAAAGGTCTGTCATTTTATGTTAATTTGGTATTTTCTTTTAATTACCAAAGCTAAAACATTATCTAAATACTCTGTTTGTCATTTGGGGTAGTTGAGTGTAGATTGATTATTTTATTAAATATTTAGCGTAGTGGTATAACATTACAAAATGTAAAAAAGGGGGATATAAATACATTCTAAAGGCGCTGTAGTCATGTATTCAATTTTCATGATAATATATTGATTATTACAGACAATTTAACCTGTTTTAACACAGTTGAGGGAGAATGAGGCATTTAAAATTCAATAGAGTGGAGGAAAATTATCCCAGGGAAAAACATTTATCCGTAAGCACTTAACAGGCGTAATTGAAATGGCTTCATAAATGGCACATCCTAATCGAAGAACAGTCAGTGTAAAGAAAGATATTGGCCCCTAAGCATGTGTGTTTGGAAATGTAAGCAGTATGTCTGAAGAAAGGAAAGCGGTAGTTGTGCGTGGGCAGGCCTTTCGTCTACTAATGAGTGTATTTATTATTTATTTGAAACAAGAATATATGGAGCAAAAACATACCTGTTGAGGCACAATCTGCTTGTTTTCATGAAAGGAGCTTTCCCATTACACCAGTGCACCTATGTTAATGTGAGCTGTTGGAAGTCTGGTGGAATTACGGCTGTGAAAAAGAACATCAATCATCTTCAAACACAAAACAAGATGAAAGTGAACTACACGCTGCTCAGTTGAAGTAAACAATTATGTTTTATTGATAAGGTTCTCAGAAGAGTCTCGTTCAGTGAATGTATAAGAATCATCCTTTGATAATACTGATTTGGTACATTATGACATCCAGCACGAGTCTCTTCACAGTGAGAGGGATCCATTACTGCTACTGCTGTTGGGATCTAGGACAGATTAACCTCTGCTTTCCAAACCAAAAAACAGTCAAAAACAACAAACTTGGGTTCGATATTGTAGATATGGAATATTAGAGTGCCACAAAACTCTAGAGTAGTAAGACTAGCTAAAGATTTTGCACATTACAAGCCACTTCCTCTTAGAAATATAAAACTTGATATTCTGGACAATATTCTACTGTGCTGCATAAAGGTAGGTCTATACACTGTACATCGAAATATAGCTCGAAAAAACAGATTTCACAGTTTTAAAGACTTTATTTAAAGTATAAACCGCTTCTTTTTTTTTAAACACTTTATTACATAAATTATTCTTTTTGAGAGTGACTATTATTTGCCCCCGGCAGCAAACTGAAATTAATACAAAAACAAAATTTCTTACATATTTTACAAAAGAAAATAAACTCATCCATTAATGTTCATTTGGAATAGAACTGGTGACTCATTCATGATTGTCATATAGTACTAAGAATAAATAAATAAAAAAGAATAAAATAAATACTAACTTAGCATGTTTTTTCCGGACTCTGTGAGTGGTGTGTTTGATCATTCTGTACAGAAGTGCCTTGGTGAAAGTCTCACAATTCTACCGCGACTGAAACGTACAAAACTACGGCATCTACGATATACGCAACATCCTGAAATTTAGTGAAGTCGGACACATATGTAGTAATATGATTCTTCACCCCATTTTAAAATAAACAATGCTGTGTGATACCACTGTCCACAAATATAGCCATCACTTATTTTACTTTGTTTTTTTAAAAAGTGTTTTCGAGTCCATTAACAGCTTGGTTTTGTTGAAGGATGCCGTTAGCTTGTGTGTTGCTTGGTTGGATGTGCGCTGACTCAGCAGCAGAGGACTGGTCCGTGGTGGACGATGGGAGGCCTGAGACAGGGAGACGACTCATAGTATTGGACGACCTTTAACATTTCCTTTGTGTGTCGCGGTTTATGACGTCTTCCTTTGATGTGTAGTTGTAATGGCTGAACTCTGGAGTGGCCTTGTCTCCACTTTGGTCCCTTTGCGTTCAGTGTCTATTAGAGACAGAAAAGCGTTCGCCGCAGAATCCAGCGCAGTACAACTCCACCGCGTGCTCAGTAGCTGTCATGGCCGCCGCTCTCAGTGTGACCCAGAAAATATGGGCGAAAATATCACTATCTTTTTTAAAAAGGGGAATCTTCTTATTCATTAAGCAACGGTTCTCAAAGTTCTTCAGTGCTTTTTCAGTTGTTCAAAGTTTTTTTTCCAAAAAAACAACAAAAAAACATTTGACTAAACTTTAAATGTTTTGCCTGTGGCAGTAAAATCAACAATAATATCTTTCATTCTTTTCAAAAGTCCCTGCAGCGTTCCATAGTAACCCCTTTTGTTGGTTAATTCTCTGTGGGTTTCGAGAGGAGAGGGGTCCGAGGAGGCTGGGTAGGAAAAAGGAGCAGGATCTAGAGAAGTGAAAGGTGGGAGAGAGAGGGAGAGTCTGATGGGCTGTTACCTCTTGCCCATCTCGTTCTGTCTGAGGAACTGGATGTTGTTGCTGCTGTCAGCCAGTTCTGGGTACTGCTCCACAGGCAGTACATAGTATCCATCGTAGCCCTGTACTCTGCCCGTTGTTAGGAGCTGCTGTCTCTCCCCCTCCGTCCAGAGGCGACTGCCCCCCTTCCCGTCCCTGGCCCTCTGCTGCTCCTTGGCCCAGGCCCCAGCCAGGGCTCTCAGCCTGGCCAGCTCCAACAGTCTTACCTTCTCTTCGTCCACCACGTCCGCAGCAAGCCCGTACCGAACACTCAGTACTAACGAGGGAACGGCGAACTCCACAGTCACGCCTCTCCTCGACCGGCCGCTCACCGTCACATTGATGCCGCTCTCCAGTGACTTCCGCCCGTTAGTTAGCCCCAAAGCTAACAGGTCACTGTCCGCAGAGCCAACCTTCACAAAGTAGTGGCAGTCCTTGGCGTCCTGGGTGTAGTGGGTGCCTTCCAGGTACTGAGCGCCATTGAGCACCACAGCCACTTTACGGCTGTCGTCACTGGCCAGAGCGGACACGCCGGCCACCACCCGGCCTTCCTTCAGAGCCATCATCACCCCTCGGCCTATTATTGGGGTGCTGGTGCCGAACCAGTGACCCGGCTTGTCCTTGCGTCTTCTCCGTTCCTTGTTGAGGAGACGACCCTCCAGGGCCATGAAAGCCTGGTTGTGACGCTCTGCTGCCTGCTGCACACCCGTGATGAGCTACAAGAGAAACAAGAAGAGTGTTTTTGACTTATCTGTGTTGACATAAACATCTGAGCCACTATCACAGGGTTAATATTGGCTTTGATTCTGTCGATGCGCTCCCTACCTGTCCGTTCTCACAGTGCTGGGTGGCCTGCAGCTCGTAGGGCGGCTCCACAAAGTAGAGTGAGTGTCGGGGGAACCCAGGGATTATGTTGCTGAGCTGGAAGCCAAACATCACCAGCCAGCTCTTCACATCTAAGGCAGACAGGAGGGGAATTAATTAAGTGAAACACACTAGCAAATGAATCATTTTTCCTCATAAAAAAGTGAAAGTGTGTTTTGCTTGCGTGACTCACCTGGTGTTATGCAGAGCTATCAGCTATTTTACTATCTGCAATACATTCTACTTGCATATTGTTTCAGCAATAATCTGTTTCTCCTGCACTCTAGAGATATCAGAGACAATGTCAGGACATACCGTAACAAGCTAAATTGAGCTTGTTCTGGAGATGTGATTGAATTACGGATCTGCTGTCTGAACATTACACTGTGGGTTCCATCTGACTATTCTGCTGTATACTCAAAGCCCTGAGAGGCAAGTTTAATAAAATATATGATGGTAATGAATTTTCAAGGTCTGATCTCAAATGTTATCTTTTATTTAGAGTTTATGACATAAGAACAGGTGGAATAATCTTTCTTATTTCCTATTCTTTAAAAAAAAAAATTTCTTCTGTAATACCCATTTTGGCCACAGGAGTGCAACAGTACCCCAGGTTGTAAATGAGACTCAAAGCAGAGTTTATGTTCGAAACAAAAGGAACATGTATTATGTGTTAGTAATAGTATGTCATATCACATTATTGTCTTGTATTTCTTTTGGCT